CTGGTAGCTCTGCAGGCCTGCTGGACTCCAGTCCCACTTCTCATCCGCCTCCTCCCCTTCCACATCTGAGTGCTTCCTCTTCAAGCCTCCCACCATGATGCCCTGTGGAGAGAAGAAGGGCAAGTCTGACACAGTAGAGCTAGTTCAAACCCCCCTTTCTCAGGCCTGTATAGTCATTGATTTTTAATTATCTAAACCTCAGTTGACTCATTTGTAAAATAACGTTGTCTGAATCCTACAAGGCTAAGGAGGTGAGTAAATATATGAGATTAAGAAAGCAAGATATGGACTTAAAGCTGGGTTTGAATCCCACTTACTTGCCTGTTGTGGCCTCAAAGAGTGAATTTACATCCTTGAGAATCAATTTCCTCATCTGCAAAGTAAAGAACCTAACTCAGGTCCCTGAGTCTTAAAATTGTTCTTCCACAATACTCATTTCTTCAAACATGTCACACACACAAGAAAGGGGTGGAGTACAGGGACCTGGACTGGAAGTAGGGAATCCCGGGTTTGAATTCTGCCTTGTACACTGCTCAGCTGTATGATCTTGGGAAGTGATGTGATATCACCTCTGGGCCTCAGTTTCTCATCTGTAAAATGGGGATTGTAAACATACTTTTCACTACATCCGCCAAGGACATCCCACGATTAATAGGAACAGAGCCCACCACATGGTAAGTGCTTAATAACAAGAGTTAATCGCCATTTATTCACTATAGTTTTGAGTGCTTACTATACACGAGCTACCTGGAACCCTGTTAGGGCACCTCTTTTTCGAGATTCTTCTTTCACGGGTAGGATATTTCTGCCCGTGCCCTCTTCCTTAACTGACTGGGAGCACTCCCAAGAGCAGGGAAGGGGCCTTCCTCAGTCCCTCTGCCCGCGCTTTCAGTTTCCCCCAAAGCGTGCCCCATAGGAAAACTCGCCAGGACTCAACTCACGCCAAGCCCCGCCCCCTCCCCGGGCGTCTCTTCAGCACCGAGGAACGCCCCAATTTGGCCCAGGGGCTTCTGGGAAACGTGGGCCAATAGCAGCCAGGTACACGGACTGACATCGAGCACGCACTACAATCCCCAGAGGGCTCTGCTGGCTGATGGGAGGAACACCCTCGCCCCCGGCCAACCCTCCTTTAAGGCATGCGCACAGGGACCCGGCTGGGTGGGGGAAGGGAACCCGGACGTCCAGCTGCCAGGCGCCGGCCGAGCCCCGCCCTCCAGTGCCTCCGGCGCGGCGGGTCTGAGCTCCACGCCCGGAATACCCCTCCCCCACCCCAGACCACAGCTCTAAAACCGCTTTCTCCCGGTCCCTCCGACCCCGAAGGTCCGGGATTCTTACCCCAAAGTGCCATCGGGTCTAGAGACCCAGGCCCCAATACATTGCTAAGAGACGACAAATGCTCTGCGATCCACTCCGTTCGGGAGACTAGGTATGCCACTTTTAATACCTCTCCCAAAACTTTCTGCAATTCTCCTGAATTCCAAACGCCTCTGGACTTCACCTCCAAACTCCCCATCGGACCCCATGATGCGAACACTGAACTCTTTGCAGTTCTCACTCCCTGCCAATGCGTCTTGGAGTTCAAGATTCCTTGACCCTAGTTCTCTCACTTTTACAAATGCCCGGGATTTGTAAAGCCGGGCATTTACAAATCAGCCTCAAACCTCTCACACCTTTTCCAGAACACTACAGAACCCCTAATTCAACCCGTCTGGAAGACCTAAGTAGGGTCTAATCTCCAGATTCCCTGTCCCGAAAGTTCCTTCCCTTGGTTTTCTCACTTCTCCAAACACCCCACGTCTCAGCTTCAAACTCCCTCCGCTTGAAAATCCTGCCCCAACAACCTCACCTTCAAACCTGGATCTCCAACTAAGTCTCGGGTCCCCAGACCCTCCAAACCCTATCATCACCCTTAATCTGCGCCCCCCATTCCCGTTCCGCCCCCGCAAATCTCGGGGGCGCGCCTCGCTCCCCGCTCCAAGGTAGATCCCTAGCCAGGCGGCCACTCCTCACCTCAGCCGCCAGGTTTTCAACAACCACCTCCCGAAACGCCTACAGCGTTGAGACCCACCAGGGCTGGGTTGGGACCTCGCTCACCTCCGCGGGGCCTCTCCTTCTGCCCTCGGGCCCACCCAGCCCCGCCCCGGAGCTGAGCTGCGAGCCTCGATTGGCTGGAGCCCGGCCCGCTGCGGGGCGCCGATTGGCTGGGCGGAGCCACCCCCCCCTGTCGCCTGGAGACGCCCGATCCGCCCTCCCTTCCCTAACGCCCCGGGCCATTTAAAGGATTCCGACTAGCCAGGGGGCGGGACCGCCTCTTCAGGGCGGAGGTGGCATGTCTACCAAAACCGCTTCCTTCAACTCAGCTACAGCCCTCGCTCGAGAGCATCAGCGTTGCTCTCTACAGTTCCTTTACACCCGGCCTGGACCCCATGGCGGAGCAAGACGGGCTAGTTTGCCCCTCAGCTCCCGGCTCTCCAGGCGGGCGGGGTTGAGCAACTCGCGGAGGCCGCGCCCCCGGGGATCCGAGGGCGGCGCTGTGAGCGCGGCCGGATGACGCAGCGGAAGTCCAGCCAATAGTTTGGCGCGGCCTGAGTTGCCTGGGCGACCGCAGCCCCGCCCCTCCACTACTCCGGCTCCCCGCCCCCCGTTACGCAGCTGCCCCTTCCTAATCCTCTGGTCTTCTCAGCCCGGGCGGTCCTGCCGGGTTCCCACCCTCTCTACTCTCTCAGGATGGCTCCTCCGCTGCTGGAAAGTAGTTCATGGTTCCCCACCGCCCTGGAGACAAAGTCCAAACTCCTTCCTTTGCCACAAAGCCCTTCACCATCTGCCCTGGGGCGCTCGCCGGGCTCTCTGCGACCCTGCCGCACCAATTCTCTTTCCGTGTCTCTGAAATGGCCTCAAGCGCCCACCACCACCGCGAAAAGAGTAATTTTTGTTTGTTTTCTTCCCTGTCTTGCTCCAGTGTCTACAATGCCCGGCACATAGCAAGTGCTTAAAAACGAAAATGATCTCAGCTTTGCTACCTGAGCTGGAAAAAAAAAAGAGAGAGAGAGAATAAAAGGCTTTTGGATCTTTAAGCTTGTTTCCTCATCCTGAAAATATACCCTCAGTTCCCAGGCTGCCTCTGTTCAGAACTCATCTCGAAGGTGCTCTCCTCTGTGAAGCCCTTCCTGACAGTCCAGGTTAGGTTAGGACCCCTTCCGGGCTGCCATGGCCTCCTGTGCTTCCCCCATCCCAGTCCTGGGCTGTCACTGTCTGGACTGTGGGCTCCCAGAGGACCCAAGTTATATCTGCACTGGGCTGGGCACTGAGCAGGTGCCCAGTGAAAGTTTGTTAAATGCTCAGCAAACAGCGTCGAAGAAAGAGAAATCGAGAGGGCTGAAATAAATCCCTGCTAGTGTCCTCTGAAAGCCTGCACCAGTCATGCCCCACCCCCACAACGAGTTTTCCCTCTGGGAGAGAGAGGAAGGCAGTTTTCTCCAGGCCACCTCAGGGAAGGGTGGTTTAAGGCTCCTCAGGCCAGTTCTTGCCGGTTCGAGTTTGTCTACCAAGTCGTTCTGCAGTTTGCAATGTAGGACTGGAAAGGATTTCTCAGGGGATACAATTGGGCAGGAGGATAGGTGGGTGGGTGACTGTGGGGTCACAGTCTTCTTAATCCAGTCTTCTGAATTAAGGGTTCTGTGAGGTCCATCAAAGTAGTGAGAGAAGAGTGGCTCACCACACTTGGAAAAGTGTCCCTGGGGAACAAAGGAAGTAGACAGTAGATTCCAAAGAGGGCCATGATTAGGAAGAGGCAGTGGTTTCCCTTCCCCCTCCCCAAACTGCTCTACCTCCAGGATCTGGACCTCAGGAAAGCTCTACTGTCACTCTGTCCCCAGGTTATAATCCATACCCTGCTCTGCTTCCTGGATGCCTGCCTCCCCTCCCACAGGGACTGTCCACTCAGGCTCCTGAGCGCTCCTGCCACCCACTCTCTCCCCTCCTCAAAGCCCCTGCCTCGGTCTCAGCCTCACCTTCACACAGTAGGTGAGGGAAGCTTTATAAAACACAACCTTGGGCTGGGCGCAGTGGCCTGGGGAAGTGACCACCTCTTTGTGCCTCGGTTTTTTCTTCCATATAATGGGCATGATATTAGTACTGCCCTCATAGGGACTCTTGAAAATGAAGACACATAATACATTAAGTAATTTCAGGCCGGGGCGCTCACGCCTGTAATCCTAGCACTCTTGGGAGGCCTAGGTGGGAAGATTGCTCAAGGTCAGGAGTTGGAAACCAGCCTGAGCAAGAGCGAGACCCTGTCTCTACTATAAATAGAAAGAAATTAATTGGCCAACCAAAAAATATATATATATACATATAAAATTAGCCGGGCATGGTAGTGCATGCCTGTAGTCCCAGCTACTCCGGAGGCTGAGGCAGGAGGATCCCTTAAGCCCAGGAGTTTGAGGGTGCTTGTGACTCCACTGCTTGCATAAAACCTCAGAATAAAGCTCAAAGGTTTTACAACACAATTTGGCTTCCATGGCCCAGCCTCTTAGTCCTATCATACTCGCCACAGAGTACAAGTATTATTAGCTGTGGGGGACAGGTTTTAGTTTTTTAAAGGAGCCATGGAAAGCATGGCTCCTGGCCTTCGCTCATGTTGTTCCTTCTGCTGGGAATATTGTCAAGCCCTAGAACCTTCTCTTGGCCTATTCTTACCAAACCAGGTTTCAAGCTGGACATCCCCTCTGCCACACAGCTTTTTTTGCTCCTTAAGCTGGGGCAGATTTCCCACTGGGACCGTGAGGTCCATGAAAGCAGGGCTCATGGCTATCTTGGCCATCACTGGGTCCCCACAGTCACCACTGGGTCCTTAGCACAGGGCTGGACACAGGAGAAGGACTCAATAAACTTACTGAACAAATAAATGATTGAATACTCAGAAAATGTGACACAGGCAGGCGGAGGGAGAAACTGAAATACTCAGGCAAAGGCAGAAGAGGAAGAGTCAGAGTCAGGTCTTCTAGAACAATTTGAAGCTCTTGGCTCAAAATTTATTGCTCCCTTCCTCTGTTCCTCATTTCCCACATGCCATCCTCCTGGATGGGGCCAGAGTCCTAGTCGTACTGGTGGGAGGGGTAGGTGCTGTGCCCATCGTACTCAGCAGTGGTGAGGCAGTGCAGCATGAAGTGGCCCAGGTCGTGCTTGGAAATGACCCTCGAGGGCCCTCGTCCATCCAGGGTCACTGAGTAGGCTCCGGTGAGCGGCTGGTCTCCTGTAAAGGTAAAAACAGAGGGACTTGGCCGGGCGCGGTGGATCACGCCTGTAATCCTAGCACTCTGGGAGGCCGAGGCGGGCGGATTGCTCAAGGTCAGGAGTTCAAAACCAGCCTGAGCAAGAGCGAGACCCCGTCTCTACTATAAATAGAAAGAAATTAATTGGCCAACTAATATATATAGAAAAAATGAGCCGGGCATGGTGGCGCATGCCTGTAGTCCCAGTTACTCGGGAGGCTGAGGCAGCAGAATTGCTTGAGCCCAGGAGTTTGAGGTTGCTGTGAGCTAGGCTGACGCCACGGCATTCACTCTAGCCTGGGCAACAAAGTGAGAAGCTGTCTCATAAAAAAACAACAACAACAACAAAAAACAGAGGGACTGGGTGAAGCAGATGTCCTTTCCCCTCCCCCGACAGGGGATAACCTTCCCAGGGTGCCTTCTGTGTGCCCAGCCCAGGTGGCCCAGGTATGGCCACTTGTCTACATCCTTTGCTTCATTCAGTCAGCAAAGCCTCATTGATTACCTATTACAGGCAGCCAGCAAGGGACAATAAAGATAAGAATCCCTGCCCTGAGGATACAGACATTCACTAAGAAAAGGCAAGGAATATAAGAAAGCAAAACAGACAATATATTAGATGGAGAGAAATAAAGCAGAGGACAGGTAGGACCTATTATTATTATCATTTTTTGAGGACAGGGTCTTGCTTTGTCACCAGGCTAGACTACAGTGGCACCATCATAGCTCACTGCAGCCTCAAACTTCTAGGCTCAAGGGATTCTCCTGCCTCAGCCTCCTGAATAGCTGGCTGGGACTACAAGCCTGCGCCACCACCACCAGTAAATTTTTATTTTTTTGCAGAGACTGGGTCTTGTTTTGTGGCCCAGCCTGTTCTCGAACTCCTGGCCTCAAGCAACCCTCCTGCCTTGGCCTCCCAAAGTGTTGAGATTACAGGCATGAGCCACCATGCCTGGCCCAGATCTATTATTATTATTATTATTATTATGAGACAGAGTCTCACTCTGTTGTCTGGGCTAGAGTGCTGTGGCATCAGCCTAGCTCACAGCAACCTCAAACTCCTGGGCTCAAGTGATCCTCCTGCCTCAGCCTCCCGAGTAGCTGGGACTATAGGCGCATACCACAATGCCCAGCTAACTTTTTTCTATATACTTTTAGTTGTCCAGCTAATTTCTTTCTATTTTTTAGTAGAGACGGGGTCTCGCTCTTTCTCATGCTTTTTTTTTTTTTTTTCCCCTCTTTTATGCCCAAGAGGAAGGTCATGGTCTCAAACTCTTGAGCTCAAAGGAGCCACCAGCCTCGGCCTCCCAGAGTGCTAGGATTACAGGCATGAGCCACCATGCCCGGTCCTGGACCTATTATTAAGCCTATTTTACAAATCAGCAAACTGAGTTTTGGAGAAAGGAAGTCACGTCCCTGGGTTACAAAGGGTCACTTCACTGTGGGAATGGTTAGATTTGGGCCCCTCCCTCTGGATGCTTTCCTCTCTCTGGACCCCTATGAGAGGACTAAGTGACCTGTCAAGTGTGGGCCTGCATTTTATAGGCAATGGAAGAGCAGTCATATTTTTCTGATCTTGTGAACAAAGAGTCGGTATGCCCTGACGCCAGGGGTACAACGCGGTCTTGCTGGGGATAGTGGGCAGGCGAAATCTGGCTGTTGAGAGGCCATTTAGTGGCTGCCCTATGGTAATTAAAAATAATACCTTTCTATGGATAGCTTTTATAATGAAAAAAGTAAAAATAAAAATAATATCCAACAGTAACCAATTAAACTGAGGGATCAAACGTAGTGTCACCCATGCAGGGACATTACTGCGATCATGTGAGATAAGCGACACACCCATGTGGCATTCCTGCCCGAAATGCTTAATCTGAATCTGTGAGAAAACAACTAGAAAAATCTAGAATGTGCGACACTGAAAAAGTCACCTGGCCTGGTTAATGTCATGAGAAACTTAAAAAAAAAAAAGGCATGAGAGATCGTTCCCGATTAAAGGTGGCATGGCAACTATTAAATAAATGTGCCTGACCATCAGTTGGATCCTGATTGGTGTGGGGGTGGGCAGGTTGAAAGCATATTTAAAGAACCTGATCAAGAATCTAGAGATTTTTTTAAGATATTTTTTTGACAACTAAGTGCATGATTTTATGTCCAGCCACCAACCGAATTCACAACTGCATGAGAGACCCCAAGCAAAAACCACCCACTGAGCTTTGTCAGCTCCCAGTACCCAGTACCGATAGAGATAATCATAGTAAATGATAGTTGTTGTTGTACATTTCTACAATTTGAGTGAATTGCTGAGATAATCAAACAGTATGTTAGAAAGGAGGTAAAATAAAGCAGGGAAGGAGGATAGAAAACATGGGGAGGAAGTCTGAGGATACAGGAGAAAGACCAAAGTGAAGCACTTTTCCTATTCTCTCAACAATCAACACAGACCGAAGACTTCTGTGACCTTCTGTGTGTACGGGGGTGCTTTTCCCACACGCCAGGAAAGCAGACAACACCACGTGGGTCCTCTGGGCCACTGGGGTTGTGGGTTGGGGGTAAGAGTCCCAACCCCCAAAACCTGCCTCAGTCTTTCTGGTGACCAGCCCCCATCCTGAAGCTACCAAGGGGCTTCCAGCCACCAGTCAACTCATTAGAATACAAAAAGACACTTGTCACTTTGGAGATTCCAAGGGAGTTGTATGCCAGGATTTGGGGAAGGAAGAAGTATCTGTATTTCACAGTATCACAGAAAGGTTTGCAATTTTAGGGTGGCCAGCAGAAGGCCCTGCAGATGTCCCTAGAAGGCAGGAGGGAACAGGTGGTGGCATCATTGCCACAGGGTCCCCACCCCACTTACCTATATGTGGTGGCATCACAGCCACATACTTTAGGCCGGATTCCTGCAGCACCTTGTGCATCCGGATGTGGTCATCGGTCACGTCCTGCAGTCGTGGGGGCACTTTGGCCGGGTCCCACAGCAGGAAGGCTAGGGGAGACACAAGGCAGGGTCAGCCTGGACTCTCTTGTCTTTTTTTTTTTTTTTTGAGACAGGGTCTCACTCTGTTGCCTGGGCTAGAGTGAGTGCCGTGGCGTCAGCCTAGCTTACAGCAACCTCAAACTCCTGGGCTCAAGCGATCCTTCTACCTCAGCCTCCCGAGTAGCTGGGACTACAGGCATGCACCACTATGCCAGGCTAATTTTTTCTATATAAATTAGTTGGTCAATCAATTTCTTTCTATTTATAGTAGAGACAGGGTCTCGCTCTTGCTGAGGCTGGTCTCGAACTCCTGACCTCGAGCAATCTGCCTGCCTCAGCCTCCCAGAGTGCTAGGATTACAGGTGTGAGCCACCGCGCCCGGCCAGCTCTCTTGTCTTGATGCCAGGACTAGATCCTGCTGTGGCTCACCATTGCCTTCCAGTTGCAAAAAAAGGGGGTGTCTTTTTGGCCTCCTCTCCTTCCCTCACACCCCAGATGAGCGCTGTCAGTGGATCACAATCATCTCAAATCTAACCTCTTTTCACCCCACCTGGTCCTGTCCACTGCCACCTCTTGCCTGGACCAGCGCAACAGTCCCCTCCTTGGTGGCCCTGCCCTGCCCCCTCCAGGTAGCCAGAGGGAGCCTGTGAGCACCTGAGTTAGGTCCTATCCTTGGCTCCATCTCACTCACAAAGCAAAGTCCTCATCCAGTCCAGCCCCCAAGCCCCACCTGATCAGATCCCATTAGCTCTCCTCCATTACCACCCACACTCTCCCATCACTCCTCCACTGCAGCCTCTGGGCCTTTGCAGTGGCTGATCCCTCTGCTCACAATACACTTCCCTCTCGGCCACATGGCTCCCTCCTTTTCCTTCCAGACCTCAGTCAAAGGTGACCTTTCAGCGGGGCTTTCCTACACCAGTTTTGGTGTCTTGTTTTCTGTCTATCTATGTAGCTATCTATGTATCTATGTTCACTGCTCCATCCCTAGCCCTTAGAAGGGCCTGGAACACTTCAGGTACTCACCAAATGCTTGCTGCAGGAATTAGCCTTGGCTAAGCTATAATACCTGCTGACATTTATGGATCACTTCACCATATGCTAAGAACTATGCTAAATGTTTTAGGAGCAGTTTGGTGAAATAGATAAAAGCTTAGGTTCTGGCCAGGCGACTTTAATCCTAGCACTCTGGAAGGCTGAGGTGGGCAGATTGCTCAAGGTCAGGAGTTCAATACCAGCCTGAGCAAGAGTGAGACCCCATCTCTACTATAATTAGAAAGAAAATTAATTGGCCCACTAATATATATAGAAACAATTAGCCCGGCATGGTGGCACATGCCTGTAGTCCCAGCTACTCGGGAGGCTGAGGCAGGAGGATTGCTTGAGCCCAGGAGTTTGAGGTTGCTGTGAGCTAGGCTGACGCCACGGCACTCTAGCCAGGGCAACAAAGCAAGACCCTGTCTCAAAAAAAAGAAAAAGAAAAAAGAAAAAAAACATATTAAGGAGAGACACACTTAAGTAAAGGACCATGATGTCTTGTCACCTTCAAATGGGTCAAAGAAGGAGAGAGAGAGACAGAGACATTGGTGTCTTTTCAACTGTTCTATCATTTTGAGATTATTTCCAAATAAAAAGTTAAAAGGTAAAAGAAAAAAAAACCCAGCCAAATCATGGCGAACATAAGACTTTAATATATTTAAAAAAATAATTTTAGTTGTCAACTTGAATGACTTTAATATTTTTAAAAATATAAACAAAAAAATTTGGAAATAAAACAAAGCAGATTAAATCCATTTTAGTTTCTTCCATGGGACTGAAATTTGTCTTAACCACTCAAATTGGTCTTCAGGACATGGAAGAAAAAACCAAGCCAAAACCGAAGAGCGGACGATTCTAAAATTGCAGCACCTACTATGTGTCACTTTGAGTATGAGTACTCAAAGGAGTTTAGGGAGGATTAAGTGGCATTTATTCCTAAAGGTGCTCAGATACAGCACCGAGCATACAGTGAGTGCTCAATAAATGCTGTTAGCACGAACTGCTCCTGTTCTGCCCCCTGCCCTTTGGACAACTCAGGACAACCATTTGTTTAATGTCCATCTCCCCATCACTGGGGGCTCTGGGAGGCCAGAGACCCGGCATGTCGCCACAGCTCTGTCACTTCCTCGGGAAGGCGGGTCAGATGCCTCCTCTGGGCTCCCGCGGTCCTCTAGGCTTCTCCCATCCTGCCCCCTGTGCCTGCGCCTCCCCCATCCTGGCCCTGATCATCTGGGGTGTCAGTCTGGCCATGGACCTGTTCTCCCCCTGCCCCCTCGGTGAGCACTGCGAGAGCAGCGCCCGGGGCTGCGTCCGCCACCACCGCATCTCAGCATCGGCCAGCAAGCTCCAGGCACACAGCTGGTGCTCAGTAAATGCACGGCGACTTGGCATGGCTCCAATGCCATCCTTCAGAGCCCCCTGGGCTGCCTGTCCAGCACCCGCCCTCCAGCTCAGCCCCTCCCCCGCGGCCCCACCACCCACCCGAGGTGCAGGCCACGACCTTGTCCACGCCATGAGCCTTCATGGCTGCCACGATGTTCCGGGCGCCCTCGGACATCACCGTGGTGGGACCTTAGAGGGGACAGAGAGTGGCTGTCACTGGCAGGCGGTGGCGGCGGTGGCGGGGGTGGCAGGGGCGGGGCGGGAGGCGGGGGCGGTGCCGGGGGCCGAGGTGCAGGGGGGGGCCGCGGGCAGAGGGGGGGCTCAGTACTGAGGTCATTGCCGGTGCCCAGCAGCACGACGACAGCATCCTGCCCAGCCACGGCCTTGTCCACATCTGCCGCGTGCCGGACGTCGCCCACAATCACGCGGGCTGGCCGGGGCCCCTCGGACGGCAGCCGGGAGGAGTCCCGCACCAGCACGGTCACTTCGTAACCTGTGGGCAGAGGAGCAGAGAGGCGGTCAGTGGGCTTGCGGCCTGCACTCTGGGCTGCAGGGGGTGGGTCCAGGAGGGCACCATGAGCCCGCAGATTCATCCCCTAGGTCTCCTGCTCTGGGACAGTGGCCTCCACTGTCAACGTTTTTGCTGGCATACCTACGGCCCATGTTCAGCTAGCTGTTAAAATAGGCGATACTTTCATGCTGATTCACAAAAAATCTGCACTGAGGCCTTCAAGGAGCTCCACTATAGACTTCCCCACCCTCCAGCAATTAAAGGGTTAATGCCAGGCACTGCTATGGCCCCTATCCATGGTCCTGGAGGAAACTGAGGTACAGAGAACTTGAGTTGCCAAGAGACTGATCAGCACTGGGATTAGCCCCAGACCCTGTCCCTGGCCTTACTGCCCAAAGGCCTGGCCCTCCTCATTAGGGTCATTAAAGATTTTTTTTTTTTTTTTGAGACAGAGTCTTGCTTTGTTGCCCAGGCTAGAGCGAGTGCTGTGGCGTCAGCCTAGCTCACAGCACCTCAAACTCCTGCGGCTCAAGCAATTCTGCTGCCTCAGCTCCCGAGTAGCTGGGACTACAGGCATGTGCCACCATGCCCGGCTAATTTTTTCTATATATATTAGTTAGCCAATTAATTTGTTTCTATTTATAATGGAGACGGGGTCTCACTCTTGCTCAGGCTGGTTTCGAACCCCTGACCTTGAGTAATCCGCCTGCCTCGGCCTCCCAGAGTGCTAGGATTACAGGCGTGAGCCACCGCGTCTGGCCTCATTAAAGATTTTGAACATCACCTCAGTATGCCCCCTCCCAAAAGAATTTTTGATAACTGTCTCCCACCCCTAGAACACACATACACATTTTAGAATTCACAACTAATATAGTTCGTCCTTTGTTTTAAGTAGTAGCAAAGGATGTTAATGTTTGGGTATATTTTAATGGTGATATTGTAGAAATAAAATGATTAATTGTGGTCTCAGTTATGGACTAAATGTTTGTGCCCCACCCCCATTCATATATTGAAGCCCTAACCCCACCCCTCCCCATGTGATGTGACTGGAGGTGGGGACTTTGGGACTGATTAGGTTTAGATGAGGTCATGAGGATGGACCCCCATGATGGGATTAGTGTCCTTGTAAGAAGAGAGACCAGAGTGTTCTTTCTCTCTCTTCCTCTCCCTCTCTCCCACTTTCCCCCTTTCTCTCTCTCTCTCTTCCCCTATATGTGAGAACACACCAAGAAGGACCCTCACCAGGGACTACATCTACCGGCACCTTGATCTTGGACTCCCCAGCCTCCAGAACTGCAAAAAAAAAAAATGTCTGTTGTTTAAGCCACTCGGCCTTTGGGACAGTATTTTGCTGTGGCAGCCCAAGCTAAGATAGACTCTGAGGTTCATTCTTCTGAAAAATGACCCAGAGCTCCTGGGGGGAATGGCTGATTGCTGGGCTGGGGCAGAGAAAGGACAGGTAAGGTGGTATTTAAGGAATGATGGGGCAATGTTTAAAGGACACAGAAGCCACTGGAAGGGGCTCCCACTGGGCAAAGCAGGGAGAGCGTCGTGATTGTCCAAAAGAATTCAAACATGTCAAAAATATAAAACTCTGTGAGTTCATAATGATACTAACAAAGAAACCTCATTGGTCACCACTGGCAGCTATCACAGGATTAGTCCCTCACCCTAGAAATGATAAAAGAAAAGGAAAAAGAATAGAATTGTTTCATTTCTCTTGAGAGCTGTTATTATCTATTTCAAAAACAAACAGGAGATTTTTTACACTCTGGGGCAGTGATGATGCTAATAATAAATAATATTTGTACAGCACTCACTATGTGTCAGCTGCCAAGTGCCTTACATTCGTTAACTTGTTAAATCCTCAAAGCAACCCTGGTTTTGAATCTCAGCCCTACCATTGACTACCTATGTGACCCTAGGCAAGTCACTTAATTTCTCTGGACCTTAGGGTCTGATTTATAAAGTGACTCTAATTTTCAATTTTTTTTTTTTTTTTTCATAGAGATGGGGTCTCACTATGTTGCCTAGGCTAGTCACAAACTCCTGGCCTCAAGTGATCCTTCTGCCTTAGCTTCCCAAGAGTGAGACCCAGTCTCTACTAAAAATAGAAAAATTAGTCAGGCATGATGGTGCATGTCTGTAGTCCCAGCTACTCGGGAGGCCGAGGCAAGAGGATCACTTGAACCCAGGAGTTTGAGGTTGCAGTGAGCTATCACGACGCCACTGCACTCTACCCAGGGCAACAGAGTGAGACTATGAGGATGGCTGTAATAAAAAAGACAGATGTAAGCGTTGATGTGCATGTGGGGGAAACTGGAACCCTCATATGCTGCTAAATAATGCAGCTGTCTTGGAAAACAATCTGGCAGTTCCTCAAAAGATTAAACACAGAATTACCATATGACTCAGCAATTCCACTCCTGGATATATGCCCAAAAGCAAAGAAAACATTCAACCTGAGACAGCTAATTAATTGCAAAAGAAAAAAGAAAAAGAAAAGATATATCCACATCAAAACTTGCACAAGAATGTTCCTAATAGCATTATTCACAGTAGCTGAAACAACCCAAACATCCATCAACTGAAGAATGGATAAATAAAATATGATATATCCATACAGTATAATATTTGGCAATAAAAAATAAACGACATACGGATATATACTACAGCATGGATGAACATTGAGAAAATGTTTTTTGCTAAGTGAAAGAAGCCAAACATGAAGAACCAATATGGTATGATTCTATTTATATGAAATGTCCACAACAGGCAAATCCATATAAACAGAAAGTAGACAAGTGGTTGCCTAGGGCTAGGGGAGGCGTTGGGCAGAAAAATGGGGAGTGACTTCTAGGGCTTTCTTTTTAGGGTGAAAATGTTCTAAATTGATTGTAATGGAATTTGCACAACTCTGTGAAAACCACAGTGTGTGTGTATAAATATATACATATTTATTTTTATTTTTTTTTGTTTCAGCATATTATAGGGGCACAAATGTTAAGGTTACATATATTGTCCATGCCCCCCCCCCTTTTTTGAGACAGGATCTCACTCTGTCGCCAGGGGTAGACAGTGCAGTGGTATCATTATAGCTCAAACTCAAACTCTTGGGTTCAAAGTGATCCTTTGCCTCAGCTTCCCAAGTAGCTGGGAGTACAGACTACAGGTTCACACTACTACACCTGGCTAATTTTTTGTTTTTTGGAGAGACCAGGTCTCGCTCTTGCTCAGGTTGGTTTCGAACTCCAAATCCTGGTTTCAAGCGATTCTCCTGCCTCAGGCTCCTGAAGTGCTAGGATTAAAGGTGTGGTCACCTCGCCTGGCCAAATTGAATGATTTAAATGGGTGAATGGTACGGTATGTGAGTTATAGCTCACAAAGCTCTTATAAAAAATTCAAAAGCAAAATTAAAACCAATTAACAAAAAGTTTAGGGTAGTACCTGGTACAGAAATGAGTGCTATCTGGTTGTTTGCTATTATTATGTCTGGTAATCATTTCCCAATTTTAAGCCCTGGCCTGGTCAAGCCCTGAGTCTCCTTCCTGGTCCCTGGGCTCCCAGACCCAGTCCTGTCCCTTCCAATCCATATTCCACATGGCAGCCAGACAGAGCGAGCTTTCCATAGTTATATCTAAGTGCCTCCCTGCTCTGATCCCTCCTGAAACCTCTCAATGGCCTGCGATAAAGCCACAGTCCTCACGACAGCCTTCAAGGCCCCTCAGGACCTGGCCTCTTCCCTCCAGCCTCTGTTGGAGCCGCTGCCCTGTTCAGCCTCCGCCCACTGCACTTGTCAGTTCCGCATGCTGCTTCCTGCCTCCGGGCCTTTGCACGTGCTGTGCCCTCTGCCTGGAACACCCTTCACCCTCTTTCCCCAGGTCCCCCAGTCACTCAACTTCCTCCGTCACGGCCCTCCTTCTGCTGAGCTGGAGTAACCTGGAGTAAACCAAGACCCTGCGAGTTCAGGGACTGTGTCATAGTCACTGCCACCTCCAGACCCTTTATAAACACAAAAACACAGGCTTCACTGAACCCATGGGCCTGGGACCAAACTCCAGCTCTACCACTTACTGGCTGAGGACCTCAAGCAACGTCTTCCCCGACTGGACCTCCGCTTCCTTGTCCCTGACACGAGGATCACAACACCCGCCATCCCCAAACTATGTGACACCTTTCAGAAGGGAATGACACAAAAATCCGTGGTGCTCTCACACCTGGGGGAGCAGTGGGGGCTTCCATGGAGCCAATATAGTCAACTGTGGGTATTTTCTTTTTTGGGGGGTATATATATGTATTTTTTATTTCTTTTTATTTTCTATTTATTTATTTATTTTTTTGAGACAGAGTCTCGCTTTGTTGTCCAGGCTAGAGTGAGTGCTGTGGCGTCAGCCTAGCTCACAGCAACCTCAGACTCCTGGGCTCGAGCGATCCTCTTGCCTCAGCCTCCCGAGTAGCTGGGACTACAGGCATGCACCACCATGTCCGGCTGATTTTTTCTATATACATTAGTTGGCCAATTAATTTCTTTCTATTTATAGTAGAGACGGGGGGTCTCACTCTTGCTCAGGCTGGTTTCGAACTCCTGACCTCGAGCTATCTGCCCGCCTTGGCCTCCCAGAGTGCTAGGATTCAGGCGTGAGCCACCATGCCTGGCCTTTATTTACTTTTTTGGGTAAATTTTTATTTTGAAATAAATTCAGACCTACAGAGAAGTTGTAAGAGATTCATCACATTTGTTTTTGATTTATCCTTCTTTGTCTGTGTGCATATGTATAAAATATGTATTAATGTATAATTATATACATGTGTACATAAATACATTTATACATATACATACAAAAGTAGATGTATATATGCAAATTTGAGAGTAAATTGCAGAAGTCATTCCCTTTTTAAGCTTTTTTCATCTCAACCCTCACCACAAAATAGATTTCACAGTCTAACCCAGTACATAAGAACCCACAGATATATAATTGAAGCAAAAGTTTCATAAGACTAATATTTAACATGTGATACATTTTGATATTGTTTTGACCAATTAAATATATTTCAGAACTCATTATGGCTCAAAGTTTGAGAAGCACCAGGTTGCAACAACTCAACTAGGTAGGTATTTGTTCCCCTGCCCATTTTGAGAATGGGGAAATAGGCAATTTTAGGCAATTGGGGCAGGATCACACAGCTAGTAGGTGGACAACATTGAATTTTTACCTACGTGAGTCTGATCTAGAGACTGCAGAATTCAGTGCTAGGGATAATCTGAATTCACCCAGCCAAAGAGTTATGGTTTTTTTTTTTTGTTTGTTTGTTTTTTGAGACAGAGTCTCACTGTGTTGCCCAGGCTAGAGTGCCGTGGCCTCAGCTTAGCTCACAGCAACCTCAATCTCCTTGGCTCAAGGGATCCTCCTGTCTCAGCCTCCCAAGTAGCTGGGACTACAGGCACACACCACCATGCCTGGCTAATTTTTTCTGTGTATATTTTTAACTGGCCAATTAATTTCTTTCTATTTATATTAGAGATGGGGTCTCCCTTTTACTCAGGCTGGTTTTGAACTTCTAACCTTGAGCGATCCGCCCACCTCGGCCTCCCTGAGTGCTAGGATTACAGGCATTTATTGAGCACCAGCTATGCATGGAACATGGCTGGCACTGGAGTCCGTGCCTGTCATGACTCTTGGCCCTGCAGAACCATTGAGAACCCCAGTTCATCTAAGCCCTTCTTGTTTCTGATGGGGACAGTCAGGCTCAGAGCAGCAAAGAGACTTTTCAGAGTTAGCTACACCCTAAGTCCCAGCTCTCAATGCCCCTGGGTGCAGTCCCACCTGTGACCAGCAGGATGGGGGAGTGGAATTCAGTGGATTTCCAGATGACTCAGCACCTCTCAACTTCTTCCTTACTTCCTTCCCGAACCCTCTTCCTCTCAGAAATGCTCATCAGCAAACTGGTTTTAACTGGGAGGCCCATGGCTCTCCCCCTCTCCGCAAGTCAAGATGCTCATAGTTCTTCTTGCGAGGGAGGAGAGCCGTGGGTCTAACAAGGAACTTTCAGGCATAGTTCCTCCAGGGGAGGGCTGGGCAGGGAGACAGCATTGAGTGGCATCCTGTGGGCTCCACCCTTTTGGAGGACCCGGATAGTAAGTATCTTCAGAGTCAGCAGGGGTGGGGCCCTCTATCTGGAAGTCCCAGGCCCCGCTGGGAGTTGGCATAATCTGGACCATGGGTGCAGGGGATGCTGGAGGGTGGCTATCCCCTTTCCTGCCCCCTGTCCTGGAGGAACTCTGAATTTGCAGCCCTCATTGACTTCCAGGACTAGTGCCCCCAAGTCTCTGTCTGTACTTGCTTTCCATTAGGTGCTTACAGCAACCTGCCCCCCAACTTTTTCAATTTTGAGCTCTTGTGCCCAAGCGGAGAGCCTGTGGACTTTTGGTGGTTAAGAGCATGAGCTGGCTTCAAATCCCAGCACCGTCACTTAACAACTGTGTGATGCTGGGCAAGTCATTCTCTAGGCTTCAGTTTTCTCGTCTGTCAAGTGGGGTAATACTAGCTCCCACCCCATATAAGGGCTGCGAGGATTTAACACATGTGAAGACGGGTTGGTGCTGGGCCTGGCTGGGCCTGGCTTAGTAAACAAACCCACTCTGGGCGTGCTAACCACCACCACACTGCAGAAGAGCCTTCTTGCATTTACTCACAATGGTGTCACTGGAGTCATCAGGCTCCCATGGCCAATTCCTCTGCCTTGGACTCACGTAAAATTGGATCTCATAGCCTTCCCCATTTCTGCCCCTCCCCCCCCAGTCCTCACACACCTGGCTGAGGCACTGGTGGCCCCCAGCAGCCTGGGCCCGGTTCCACGCTGCCCCTTCCTAATGCTACGCCCGTGAACCCGGTGACATCCCCCGCCCGCCCCAGCTCATGCCTGCTTGCACCGCCTGTGCCAGGGTGGTGAGCCCGGTCCTGCCGGTGGCGCCGAAAATCACGATCTTCTTGACGGCCATGCTGCCGGGTCGTGGGAGCGCAAGGCTCCAGGGTCTCAGGACACGCGGGAACCCAGTGGCTGCTGGGTGGCGCTCTCTGCCCTTTTCTAGCGGGAACAACGGGGCGGAGCCGGCTCCTGGGGCCACGCCTCTGCCCCCTGCTCCGCTCCGGTAAGGGGGCGGGGCCACGCAGGCCACGCCCCCAGCTGGGAAGAACGCAGGTGGGCGGGGCGGGACTCAGCTCGCATTCGCTCCCGGACCAACAACCAGCACCGCCCTCTCCGTCCGCCCCTCAGGCTGGAAGGCGAGCCCCTGTGAGACCCCGCCTCCATCCGGACAGGGCGCGAGTGGGCGGGGCCAGAAGAGCGCGTCACTGGGCACCGCGTCTCCGCGCTCCAGCCCCCCGGGGAGGGCGGGGCTGGCAGAGCCACGCCCACCGGTCTCTCCTAGTTCGCGCTCCTTCTCCCAGCGCCTAGAGGCAGTTCGGGGACTCACACTATCCCCAGGGCGTCCCCAACAGGCACCGTGACAAAATGAGGGAGGACTGTGTGTGTGTATGTGTGTGAGACACTGTGACTGCGTGTCTATGTACCTATATGACCCCGTGTGACCCTAAGTCACCACAAGAGAGAGCATGATTGTGGGCGACACCTTGTGTCTTCTTCCATGTGCAACCCTGTGTTACAGTGAGACTGTGTGTGACACCACGTGTGGCAGGCATTGACACTGTTCTTTGGTGACCTCGTGGTGACACCGTGGGTCAGCCTGTGTGATATGGTGAGCAGGGAACATGTGTGAGGTGTTCTATATGGGAGTGTGTGACCATTAGACTGTGACAGCGTGTGACAGCACATGTGTCATGACAAAGATGTGTGACACTGGGACCCCATTTGAATGTGTGGCTGCGGGCGCTTCTGTTGTGGGGGCTATTCGTGACCCCTGGGACTGTGTGACGTATGAGTGTGTGGTATGACGTGAACGGTGACTGCCTGGACAAGTTCGTGCGAGTGTGGAAAAGTGCGTGACACTACGTGATTGTGCAGCTGTGTGAGATGTGTGGGCGTATGACACTCTGTGACTGCCTGGGAGCGCGCGACAGTGTGTGACACGTGTTTGTGTGTGACACTTCGTGCGCGGCGGTGACCTTATTTGAGTGTGTGGCAGCGCGACGCCGCCAGGCAGCGTTCCAGTGAGGGACCCATGTGTGAGCCTGCCTGCGACGGGAGTGACCGCGCACGGCCCGCGAGGGAGAGGCGCCGCGCGGCCGTGAGGGCGCGGAGAGTGGGCTGGGGCGCTGAGCGGCCGGGGAGCGCGCGGCGGCGCGGGCGTGTGTGAGTGTGGGTGGCGCTGCGTGTCCCCCTCGCGAGCGCAGCGCATCACGCGGTGGCCGGCGTGTGGCGGCGTGTGGCGGCGAGGCGGGCTGCGGGCCCGCGGCGGAGGGCGGGGCGCGCCGAGCGCGGCGGCGGGCGACGAGAAAGCCGCGCGGCGGCGGCGGCGGCGCATGCGGGTCTGGCCGAGCCGCGGCCGGCGGGCCCGAGCTGAGCCGGGCCGGGCCGGGCCGCGGACGCCGACAGGCAGGGCGGTCGGGCGCAGCGACAGCCAGGACGGCGGCCCCCGCGGCCGCGGCCCCAGGTGAGTGGCGGTGGCGCGGATGGCCCCTCCCCCGGCATCTCCCCACCTGCGAGCAGAGCATCCCTCCTCCGCGCCGTGGGCATGGCCTGAGCCCCGCGTCCCCCGGCTGGCGGGAGGCAGGGGATGGAGGGCAGAACCGGCTCCCGGCCCCACACCCGGTCCAGCCTCTGCGCTGCGCGTGGGTCTCACCCTCAGGCCTTGTCCTTCCAGGTCCCCCTCCTTGGGCACGGTGTCTGGACCGCAGGCAGAGGCGCGGCCTTGCAAGGGTTAAAGCATCTGATCCCACCCGCAGCTCAGCGCCGGGGCCAGCCTTTGCTGAGGCCGTCAGGACACCCCTTCTCCCGCCGCCTTCTCCCTGCCTTCTCCTTCGGTCACGTAATGGCCAAAGCTGTCTCCCGGCCTGAGAGCTCAGAAGTGCCAAGCGCCTTCCCATCCCCAAGTGTCCTCCATGGAAGAAACACGGTTTAACAGGGAGGGAAACTGAGGCATAGAGAGGCCAAGTTAAAGATACCCCCGGTTAAGGATGCAGGAATAAGAAAGCAGGACTTGAACGCATTTCTGTGTGACTCCAGAACAGGCACTTTGGTTTGCTGAGATATGTGAGGGAGGATGAAGAAGTGTAGCGGGGAACAGGTACGGAGGGCTTGCTGGGTACCAGACACTGTGTTCCTGCTTCATTAACTTATTTCATCTTCAAACACCCCTACGAAATGGGCGCCCTTATCATTATCATTTTATAGATGAACAAACTGAGGCCCAGAAAGGGGGAAGTGACTTGGCCAAGGTCACACAGGTGGTAGGTAGCCATGCGCTCACTCTCTCTGGAAGAAGGGAAGAATAAAAATGAATTTTGGCACCAAAAGGGGCAATTTCTTTTCTTTTCTTTTTTGAGACAGTCTCGTTTTGTTGCCCAGGCTAGAGTGCTGTGGTGTCAGCCTAGCTCACAGCAACCTCAAATTCCTGGGCTCAAGTGATCCTCCTGCCTCAGTCTCCTGAATAGCTGGAACAACAAGGCACGTGCCACCATGCTGGGCTAATTTTTCTATTTTTAGTAGAGACGGGGTCTTGCTCTTGCTCAGGCTGGTCTCAAACTCCTGAGCCCAAGCGATCCTCCCACCTCGGCCTCCCAGAGTGTTAGGATTATAGGCATGAGCCACCACGCCCGGACCATGGGACAATTTCTACTATACTGACCAAACCCCAAACCCTGCCTTCCTAGAATATAGGGTTGGCAATTGTCTGGGTCTCTTATGAAGGGGAACATCGATCTCCTAATCCCCTCTTTTCTTAGTCTTAGAATCAGGCCTGAGATTCCGGAGGGTGGAGGATATATATCTGATGTCACCCACCCCTTTAAATTTCCTATTTACAATCTAGCAGCATTCTAGAGCATAGCTCTGGGGCCAAACAATATGGCAGTTAGCTATTGCCACATAGTGCCCGCATAACAAGCCACTCTGAAACTCAGTGTCTTAAAACACCAAGCATTTATTTAGCCATCCAATCTGAACTCAGCAATTTAGGCTGGACTGAGCTGGGCAGTTCTTCTGGTTTCTGCTGGGCTCATTCACACGTTGGGGTCAGAGAGGGGGCAGTGTTGGCAGCGCTGCTGGCCTTGGCTGGAAGGACTGGGGCCTGGGACCTGGTCTAGCCCCAGGCGTGTTTTCCTCACGGCCACAGCTGAGCACAAGCAGAAATATGCAAGGTCTCTAGAGTCCTAGCCTCAGAGCTGGCACACCAGCACTTCCGCTGAATTCTGTTGGCCAAAGCAAATCGTATGGCCAAATGCAGAGTTAAGTGGTGTGGCATGGTCCCCTACCCTAGCAGTAGGACACTGAAGAGTTACATGGCAGAGGGTGTGGCTACACTGGTGAAGAGTTGGGGCCATTAATACTGTAATTCTATCACAATGCCTGTGTTTGAATCCTAGCTACTTACTAGCTGTGTAACCTTAGGCAAATGGATTAACCCCGCTGTGATTAAGTTTCCTCCTCTATAAAATTGGTGGCATTACTAGGCACGGTGGCTCACCCCTGTATTCCTACCACTTTGTGAGGCTGAGGCGGGGGGATTGCTTGAGCTCAGGAGTTCAAGATCAGCCTGAGCAAGAGCGAGACCCCATCTCTACAGAAAGATAGAGAAATTAGCCAGGCGTGGTGATGCACGCCTGTAGTCCCAGCTACTTGGGAAACTGAGGCAGAAGGATCACTCCAGCCCAGAAGTTTAAGGTTACAGTGAACTTTGATTGTACCACTACACTCTAGCCTGGGTGACAGAGACCCTGTCTCAAACAAACAAACAAAAAAATTGATGTCATAATAGCTGATCTTTAGGGAGTTATATTTGTGGAAATTAAATAAGAGAATGCATATAAAGTACTGAGAACAGTGCAAATGTTCATTATCAATTAGTGTTCATTTTTGTAATTACTACATTCTAGAATTCTATAACTGATAATGTTATTGTTCTAATAGTAATAACAGTGACGATTTGCTGAGCCCTTGCCCTGTGCCAGGTGGTTTACCATAGCCCTGAAATGGTCAGGGTGAACATTATTACCATTATTATTATGTTTACTTTAAAGACAGAGGGCAAGAGAGGGGATAAGATGCACAGCCAGTCAGAAGTGGGACCTCCAGACCGGGCGTGGTGGCTCACGCCAGTAATCCTAGCACTCTGAGAGGCTGAGGTGGGCGGATCATTTGAGCTCAGGAGTTCAAGACCAGCCTGATCAAGAGCAAGACCCCGTCTCTACTAAAAATAGAAAGAAATTAATTGGCCCACTAAAAATATATAAAAAATTAGTCGGGCATGGTGGCACATGCCTGTAGTCCCAGCTACTCGGGAGGCTGAGGCAGGAGGATCGCTTGAGCCCAGGAGTTTGAGGTTGCTGTGAGCGAGGCTGGTGCCACGGCACTCTAGCCAGGGCAGCAGAGTTAGACTCTGTCTCAAAAAAAAAAAAAAGAAGTGGGACCTCGGGCTTAGGCCCTGTTTCCAGCCCTAACCTGCCTCTTCCCCTCCCCAGGCCTCACCTTCCCCGATGGCGCAGGTGCCAGGGGAGGTGGACAACATGGAGGGCCTGCCTGCTTCTAACAACAACAACCTTGCCGCCCGCTGGGAGAGTCCAGACCGGGGCTGGGAGAGGGAGCAGCCGGCCTCCTCCAACGCAGCCGCCTCACTCTTTGAGTGCTCCCGGATCAAGGCCTTGGCAGGTACCTGGAGGAGGGCTGGGTGGGATGAGAAAGGGGGGTAGGGGAGGGTACCTCGATGGCCGGGAGAGTGGGAAGAGAGAGAGTTACAGACACTTACCCCTTGACTCTTTAGAACACGATGACAGAAATGTTCCATTTCTGTGATGTCCAATATAGTAATCACTAGTATGTGTGGCTATTGAGCAGTTGAAATGTGCCCAATGCTACTTGAAGGGCTGAATTTTACATTTTATTTAGTTTTAATTAATTTAAGTTTAAAGAGACACATGTAGCTCATTGCTGCTTATGGGGCGGCATAGCCTTAGGACCTTAGAAAATAGCTGGGTACGGTGGCTCAGGCCTGTAATCCCAGTGACTTGGGGAGGCTGAGGTGGGAGGATCACTTGAGGCCAGGAGTTCAAGACCAACCTGAGCAGCATAGTGAGACCCTCGTATCTACAAAAAAATTTTTACAATTAGCTGGCATAGTGGTGCATGCCTATAGTCCCAGCTACCCAGGAGGCTTAGGTGGGAGGATCACTTGAGGCCAGGAGTTGGAGACCAGTCTGGGTAACATAGAGATACTGTCTCAAAGAAAAAAAAAAACAAAAACCTTAGAAATGTACAATCCCAGAAATGTGGGACTTTATAAGCATATTTCATTAGAATCCCAAAACGCAGAACCACTGGGTTTTAGGACCTTGGAATATTATACTCAGAGATTCTTAGACCTTCAGAAACAGAGACCCCTGGAAATGTAGAACTTTATACTCACAGACCTAAGAAATTTTAACCATTGGCCCTAGGATCTTAGGCCCTTAGAAACCTAAACTCTAATACACATAGATGCTTGGGATGTTGTAATCCTAAACCTTTAGAGTTGCAGATTAAAAATGTAGACCCTGAGAACTTTGAGATAGAGTGATCAGACCTTCCTGGTTTCACCACTGAAACCCTCAGCCTTGGACCAACCAAGATAGTTGGTCACCCTACTTTGATGTCTTTGATTTATCAGCAAAGACCAGAGAATGTTATAATTATAAAGTCTTAGAACCTCAGACCTTCAGAATTATAGATCCTTGAACCCAGGACTTTATATTCACAGGGCTTTGGAATCTCAGAAGTGTTTAATCATCAACATTAAAACTCTATGTGCAAAGACCTTGAGAATCCTCCGAGATGTGTAACTTCATAATCATAAACCTTTAAAGCATGAAACCCCTGGCACTGACCCTTGGGACTTTGAGGTCTTAGAAACATGGAGAACCATAATCATCAAATATAGATTGTTATAATCATGAAATTTTAAAACCTTAATATCAGAGTCAGTTCCATCCAAATCTCAGAACTTTAGTAATTCAGCATGTTATAATCATGGGATCTTTGATACTAAGATTCTAGGAACTTTATAAGATGTCAAGCAGGGGTGTCAAACTCAAAGGCCTCCAGGGAAACAAGAGACATAAATAAGGAGTGTACTAGACAATAATGCCCTGATCACCAGCTCCAGCCAAGGGGAAATAAGGGCCCTAATGTTACCAGCTCTGACATTTGTCTAGAATTTCTCAATTAAAAAAAAAAAATCTGCCGGGTGCGGTGGCTCACGCCTGTAATCCTAGCACTCTGGGAGGCCGAGGCGGGTGGATTGCTCGAAGTCAGGAGTTTGAAACCAGCCTGAGCAAGAGCGAGACCCCCATCTCTACTATCAATAGAAATAAATTAATTGGCCAACTAATATATATAGAAAAAATTAGCCGGGCATGGTGGCACATGCCTGTAGTCCCAGCTACTCGGGAGGCTGAGGCAGGAGGATCGCCTGAGCCCAGGAGTTTGAGGTTGCTGTGAGTAAGGCTGATGCCACGGCACTCACTCTAGCCTGGGCAACAGAGTGAGACTCTGTCTCAAAAAAAAAAAAAAAAAAAAAAAAATCTGTATGTGCCACAAAATGTGAGCCAGATTTAACCCATGGATTGCCAACTTCCTCTAATGTAGAAATCTAGAGTGATAAAGACATACTCGTTGAAATTTAGAATCATACTTTTACTCCTAGGATGTTAAAAACACATGAACATATGAACTTAGAACTTAGAACACATGAACTTAGAATTCTAGAATTTGATATTTTATCCATAAAATATTTATTTAGTGCCTGCTGTGTGCCCGGGCTGTGCTAGATGATATGAGGGGCACAGCTGAGCCAGCCCTGGTCCTGCCCCTGCAGGGCTCCAGTCTAGTGGGAGGGACAGATCCAGCCAGATAGTGATGGCCCAGAGGGGTCAGGGCTGTTATAAGCAAGTACAGGCAGAGGGCTGTGATAGGGAGGCCCACGCTCTATAGCAGCCAAGAGGAGGTACGTGATCCAGCCTGGAAAATCAAGGAGGGCCTCCTGGAGGAGGAGATGCCTTAGTTAAGGCCTAAAGGATGAATAGGAATGAACGCTCAGATGAAGACTAGAAGAATATTCTCCGCAGAGGAAACAGCATATACAAGACCTCCAGAAGTTAGGAGTGGCTTGAGTGAGACAGCTACAGGTGAGGAGCAATGATGCTGGGAGAGGAGCCAGTGGGGGTCAGATCTTAAAGGGCCTTGGAGGGCACCAGGGAGCCATGGAAAGATTTTAAGCAGAGATGGGCTATGGGAAGATGAGAATCAAATCTTAGAACCATGCTTCAGAGAACATCTAGGCCAGGATTCCCTTTAAGATAAAAAAATTTTCTTATACATTTCTGTGTACACCTAAATTATTGCAATTATAGTTTCCATAAATTCACACAAATGTATAACTCTGCTTAAATCTCCCATGCTGACCCTGTCTCTACAAAAAATAGAAAAATTAGCCAGGTGTGATGGTGCACACCTGTCATCCTAGCTACTGGGGAGGCTGAGGCAAGAGGATTGCTTGAGCCCAAGAGTTTGAAGTTACAGTGAGCTATGATGATGCCACTGCACTCTAGCCTGTGTGACATAAAGTAACACCCTGTCTCAAAAAAAAAACAAAAACAAAAATGAAAACAAAAAAACCTCTTATGCCTGAAGTTCTAGTATAGCTCTACAACTAAAACATATTTATAGAGGAACTCCAGGCCCAAACCACAAAGCCATAACATTCAGGTTGACAGTCACTTCCTGCTGTCCTGCTGAAACTATCTGCTGCTCAAAGTGCAAACATGATGTGGACCACGATGGTACATTTCTTTTGCCTCTCTTTGCTCACTTCTCTCATAGTTTTTCTCTATTCACACCAAGGCAAAACCTTTGATCAGGGTCCTCCGTGACATGCTTTTTGCATGAAGATGCTTTAAAAAATTGTTTAGACCCCATGTTCAGCGAGAACCATTAGTCACCCTCCACACTTTGTGACTTGCTGTTGTCGTTCATCTGTGCGAGCCCTCTCTTCTCTTTATTGATTTGTTTGTTCTCTTTTATTGCTGTATCTCACACCCATTCATTCTCCTCATAGGCAACAACATTTGGATAGTTTTAATGAGAATCTTTTCCCATGCACCTGGATGATTTTGCAAAATATGCACTGCTAATTAGTATGCAGGTGTATGTACAGATTTAACTCTTTATTATTATGATAAAGTAGTACATGCACAGGGAATGGCAGGTAAATCATGAGTGGCCATTATTTCCACAAATGAGCACTCTCTTGTAACCAGTGCCCATACAAGAAACAGAACATGACAGCCCCAGAGAAGCCCGCTTAGGCCACCTCTGTATCACTACGGTCCAAGGGTAAACACTTATCTAACTTCTTAGCTATTTATTTATAGTTTTGGTGGCCTGTATGGGAAATGAACTTGCAACAGCATAGATTCATCTTGCTAGTGTTTGAACTTTATGCAAATGGAATAATTCGTTGGGTACTCTTTTGTGTCTGGCTTCATCCACTCCTCATTATGCTTGTGAGATTCAACCATGTCTTCCCGGACTTGTTGGTTGTTCCTTCTCGTTGCTGTGGAGTATTCCGCAATATCGCCATTTGTTTATCCATTCACCTGTTGATGAGCATTTGGGCTGCTTCTAATTTGGGGCTATTATTAGACAAATGGTGGTACTCTCAACTTTCCAGCACGTTTTTGGCGTCACTCCGCCATGCACCCTCACTTCTGGGTGCCCTCGTACCCCGCAGGAGTGAAGTTCTTGGTCATAGAAGAGTGTCTGTCTCTACTTTAGTGGAGCTCGCCAGCTTGTACCATTTTACTTCCCACCAGCAGTGTATGAGCAATTCATTTGTTGTACATCTAACCCCTTGGTGACTGGTCAGTGGTTGTTAAATTTTTTTTTTTCTTTGAGACAGATTCTCCCTTTGTTGGCCCAGGCTAGAGTGAGTGCCGTGGCATCAGCCTAGCTCACAGCAACCTCAACTCCTGGGCTCAAGCAATCCCTCGCCTCGCCCCCTCCAGCCCTCCCAACCGTCAGCCTGGGCTCACAGGCATCGTGCCCACCATGCCCCGAGACTATTTCTTCCTATATAACACACACCACACACCAATTATAACGCAATGCGCCAATTAATTATTCCAATATATATAACTCAACCCCGCTCAGCCACCCGCACGCCACCGGGCTCATCTCGCTACCAACTTGCTCAGGCCTGGTCTTTCAAACTTCTGACTCAGAGCATCGCCGCGCTTGCCTCGCAGAGCTGCATAACGCGCACTTCACAGGTGCGTACGCGCCCTCGCACCCCCCCGCCCGTGTCATTCTATTCTCCACTCCGCGCTTGCCTCTCCGCAGCTCTCTCTTCCCTGCCATCGACTCCAATCCGCACCAATAATGCGGTCTCGGACGCCTTCTCGCACTATGTTTCATCTCGCGCTCCCCCCTCGCATATCCTCTTGTGCACCAACGCACCCGCCATCTCAAGTTTTTTTACTTCTTTTTCTCTTTTTTTTGCAGACAGAGCTCTTACTCCTGTTGCCCCTGGGCTAGAGTGCAGCATCAGCCAGCTCACAGCCACACCCCTGCAAACTCTGAGCTTCAACCGCTACCTCTTGCCCCTCCGCTCCGAGTAG